AATACTTGACTTTTTTGATTTCCGATATCAGCCGCTTTGATGTTCATCAGTTTCAAACGCGATGCATGTCTGCTAGCTGCAAATTTAATTTTAATGCAATAATGCAGATACTAGTAATGATAGCCGTTTCAATAATGATAGGAAAATCCATATTAGATTAACATAGAATAATTAAATGATTTAATATTTAATATTATGCAGCTGCGCGATCAACTACGGCTTGTTATACGCATATTATAGATAAAAGCTGTTAACATACATGAATGACTAATTATTTTAAAACAAAAACATTTCCCTAAACAGAAGTATGTTAATATGCACTAGAAAATTAAATTAATAGCTGAAATTAATATATACATATCTATTTTATTTGATGTCACTTCGAAATTACTTGAAGGAATTAATCGCAGAAAATAAAATAAATTTTCACTAATCTTTAAAGTATTAATATTTCAATATAAAATATACGAATATATTTATATAATAATGAATATTATCTAAATTTATGGCAAACATTATGATGGAAATGTGGGCGCTTTTGTTTTCTCTAAATGAAATGCATCATTGGCAACCGCTTTGAGAAAACAATGAGTCTATTTGGCGGATGAAGCTGCTAGTTTGCTATAGCAGGCGACATCATTAGGAGAAAGATAATCCCGACCCGCATAATTCAGAACAAGAGACTGCGGTAAATTAAATTATTGATATCAGCATGTTACATATACATATATAAGTTAACTACATTTCCTCTTGCAAAATCAATTTAATGTTACAATACGTATGTTACAAGTCGAATAATAATAAATCTTGCGAAATGTTGCGTTTGCTACAATTCTTCCAGAATATAATCTCTCACTGCTTTTCGCACAATTTGTATACACTGAAAATAATTTTTTAACTTCACTAAATTGTTCAACTAAATATTATTTTGTTAATTTAATATATAGAAATATTTAAATTAAATCTAACAAAACGCATATTTGATTTTAAATACTATAATATATGTTTAATTAACAAAATAGTAATTTAGTTGAACGATTTAATTAAGTTAACAATTTTTTTCAATATAATATTTAATTAATTATAAATTATAAAACATATATATATATATGTGTGTTATATAACATATATATATGTAATTAATTATAAACATTTGATTGAATATTTCCCTTGATTTATCCGCAGAAAAAATGCAAAGAATCGATCGCGCGTTGTCGCTCTCTCGCTCTCTTTCCTCTCATTGTCGTTTGTAGTAATGATAGTCATCGTCCGTGATATCTGCATATTGGATAAGTCTTACGTAAGAGAGGCGAGCGTGTTAGATCCGCATGCAGATCGCAAAACCTCTCGCGTTCTCTCGCTATCTTCCACTCGCGCTGCTTCCAAGGTTGCGCTGTAACGGTTCATGTTGGAAAGCGTCGCGGAAATATGCGTTCGTAAAGGTGCAGCTGTGGTTGAAAGAGGTGAAAAGGAACTCTTGGGCCACTTTATAGGTGTACGTGAACGTTTTGCGCGGCCGGATATAAAAAGTTGCGCGTGATCAACACAAAGACGCGGAAAATGAAGCGGATAATGATGATAATGAGAACGTGAAGTTTATTCGTAATTGAGCAAAAGACCGGTTATGCCCTGCAAGTTGCGAACGATCGTTCAGCCATGGAGAAACCAGAATCAAGTGTAAAAATAATTTCGAGCGTTGTTTCGATTATTTCTTGATTATTAATAGAAGATTACTCATGCTTAGAGGATTAATAGATTACAAGTTCGCGTGAGATCAACACGTATCCGATCGAATACATTTTCCTCCTATGTCCTCGAACCGATCGAAGAGAGCCATAAACGCTATAACCGGTAACCGAGTCTATTGAAAGTAGTATATTAGCCAGAGATTCTTGAATTATGTATCTGGATTAATGCGCAGCGACTCTCATGCGCATAAAAGCGCGCTTTTCGTAAATGCATATAATATACGTGCACGTTAATTTTTCCGGCAAGCAGAAAAGCGTTTCGCTGTAATTTTCAGATAATATCGAGTTGCGTAAATCAGCAAATGACGAGTGCGAAGCAAGCTGATTATCTGGAATGGAGAATAGTATGACCACGCTCATCGCACGTGACGATTTGGAAAAAAACTCGAATCAAAGTGGTAGGGGCCAATGTAAACCTTATATTGAAAGGAAACTCCTTTCTTTCGGATAATTAATATTAAGAAATAATTATGAATGAAATTTAAAATAATTATGAATGAAATTTCGTCGTTACGATTTTATTGCATTCTTTGCAATTGTTTAATTGCTTCTTTTTCAGCAAAATGAAAATTTTTACAAATAATGACTCAAATAAATTAAGTTTTACAATTTAAAAAAAGTTTCTACAATTTAAAAAATACGCACATAATTTAGGAAATAGTTTTATTGTTAGATTATTTTAGCAATTATTTTAATAAAAAACTATTTCTTTATATTTTACATTATATCTCGAATATTATGAAGAGATAATAAATTAATGCTTGAAAGTGATTTAATGTGACATTATGTAAGACATTTACATTAGCGGATGAGAAGCGATAGATCTATGACATAGATATCACGCTACTTATAAAAAAACGTCTCTGCTCAATTAAGCAGAAGTCACCAGATAATTTTTTTATTATTGAAAAATCTGTGAAATGAATATAAATTCTTTTGGAATGAGCGGTGAACAAGATACGTAATTTAATCGCTGTCACATTAATCACTATCATCCAATGAAATATTCGTGCTCTCCGAACAAAATACATCATGATAATTTCTCTTAATTTCGATGAACATTCGCATGCGGAAACACGACTTGGAATTCGTAATCATAAAGACATCAACATATGAAAAAACAATTATCTACAGTAATAATTCGTTTTTAATCAGATATGTAATGAGACATAATCAGATATGCCTGAGACGATAAATGATAGTCACCAGAACTATTTGTCAAATTATTAACATGCGTTAATGATAATAATAATACACAATTTAAAAGCAATATGGAGCAATAGTGTCGACACCTCCGTTTAAAAAAATATATACAATGTATATTTATCTTTGCACACGTGTCGATTTGCACCACGTGTTCTTCGCGAATCTAAATGGTAGCCGTGACTTTAGTCGGGTTCAAAAATCTAGCAAACGTGTTCTTAGGAATGTTGTTGCTCGGGGTGAAGAACATTCGCTGAACTGTCGAGCATAGTTGAGAGATTTATTTTGTGAATTCACCGACGAGGCACCGAATGTATTGTCGTATCATTTGGGCCCCAACTTCTCACAGATTATATCTATCTGGTTCGTTAGCTTCAATTTAGCACCGGGATTCTGTTCGTCGGATTTTGTCGCGAAACATACGAGAGGGAGAAAGTGACTTTTCATTCTTGTGATATTTATATTAATCTTATGATGCACGATATGGATCTTTATGAATATTTATTTTCTTTTGAGATTTTTCCTGTATTTTTTTCTTATCACAAATCCTTTTTAAATATTTTAAAATATAATATATATAATAAAATAAAATATAATATAGATCAATTTAATTAATAATATATAATAATATGAAAAATAGGAAGTTTATATGCATAATACATAGCTCTATAAAATAACTATTTTTTGTCTTAATAAAAATGTTTTATATTACAAATAATTTGGCCTATTATTGATATTCTCGTGCGAAGATATTACACAAAAGTAAACTTTAGTATTCAGACTTACTAAGAATTTTCAAACCTAAGTACCGTTTATGTATGTGGCTTTAGTGGCTCATAAATCTTTTAGACGACAATCTCACTAAAGATTAGTACCTTGACTAATACGCAAATTGCGCGATGTAACATTTCAATTCTTTTTTCTGCTTTATTATATTACAACGAGAAAATAAAAATATATACAATATATTGTACATTATATATATATATATATATATATATATATATATATATATATATACACAATAATTTTTTGACATAAAATATTAAATACTGTTTTTGTAATATTATAAAAATATTACAACAAAATTATATTATAAATAGTTCTATAAATTTTTCATTTCCCAAATTTCTCAAAAATGAGAAAAATATAACTTATCTGTCATTATTTTGCTCAATCATTGATTTATTACGGGCACTAGGAAATGTGAATCGATTCATATGTCGTCCGAGTTCACATTCATGTAACCGCGACACGAAACGATGAATGAATCTGGCTTGGACACGCGATATCGTTCAATGGCAGTGTATATACCAGTGGAAGTTTGCTAATTACGCAATCCGCTTCCGCGTGGCTTGCGTTGCATGGACACTGAATAAGCACATGGATGGTACAATCGCGATGATAATTAATCTCGGTCATCATTAATCCCCATCCAAGCGAGTATGTTCTTCCTCTTTGCGAATAGCGGCGCAAAAGTTTGCCGGAAAATTATACGTTCTAAGCTGATTATTGTTCATTCGCGTTTCCCGCTCTTTTGTCCACTCGACTCTTGACTTATGTATTACACACGAAATTATGTTCAACGTAAAGCACAACCGCACTGATTATTAAAATATAATTGTAGTAATAATATAGGTATAATTATCTCAAAATAATATAATTTAAAATTTTAATATGGTTAGCTCATTCAAGTATAAATAACGTATATATCTATTTTAATAAATAGAGATAACTATATTTAACTACATTGATTAAATTGTTAAAAATATACTATTTTTCCAGGAAAAGTCAGTAAATGAGAATTCATTATCCGCGTTGAAACTATTATTAAATAAATCTCTGGAATGGCGTATAATTTTGTCTTCCCGGAATCGGACTTATTATTTCATCGCACATTTTGTTTCCGTACATTTTTCTATCGCAAGAGTTGGAAACCTATTGTATTTAAGTGTAAAATTTTAAAAAATCAATAAAACGCAGAATGATAGTATTTTAGCTTCTTGAGAAGACATTACAATGTTCACAGAATTCTCAATTGTCTTTCAGATATGGTGAGAAGCAACGACGAGCGGATAGTCAAGAATTAAGCGGCATTCAATTGCTCTCTGCTACAGCTTACCAATTAAAGAAGCTTTATCAACAATTACTGATACCGATCACGATATGGATCGGTATGGAACAGGCTTTCATCGGCGCCGATTTTACGCAGGTGAGTTTTTCAAATGCATAAACGATTTTTAAACTGCTCTTGATATTAGAAATTTAATCGCAATTTCTATGATATATTTGATCGAAAGAAAGAAAAACATTTTTTATTTGATATAATATTTGATTTTATCTTTTTGATAGATATAATTGATTAATAATGAAAGATTAATTTTTAATGCAATACACATATATGCTTTTGATAAGAGCCGTAAAAATTTTATATAGTTATTTCTTTTTTTAGCAAATAATATTCTTTATTCTTAAATTAAAAACTAATTTTATATTTAAATTTAAATTAATTTTAAAACTAAATTTAAATTAATAATAATTATTGTCTGTGATATTAATAGATGATAAAATACGAGTAAATAAATTTATTGCGGTAGATAGATTTGTTCATAGATATTAGAATATACACTTTCTAATGACAGTTTCGATCATGCTGTCGTAAATCGATGCTGGTTACTTCTTTTCGCGCACTTGTAAACTGCAATCGTTGATGGCAAACAATGGCATTCCATTTTACACCTACAGAAGGCTGTTCCTTGTATCGATCTTTTATATAGGAGTCATTAGATCCACGTATTTTCGCGAATCATTGATAAGGTAATGACCGTCCTTGGTTTCGTACCAGGATCCGACATTAACGAAGCGCAATGACGTCAGCTCAATTTGCCTCCGTAATTATTATCGAGGCGTCATCGAAAGACGAAAAAAAGGCGACGAAAAAAGCAGTTCCGTATTCTTATTTATACAGGGTGTCTGATATAAAGTGTTACACCAAAAATATACAAGTAGATCTCGGTATTTGGAGACGATTTTTCCTCAGTAAAAATGTCGAGGGAGGCCATCATTTTTTGCATGTTCCAAATCATGTATCTTTATAACTAAACCTTAAATTAAAATTTTATTAAAAACACCTCTACTTGAAATTAAAGTTGGAGAATGTGATTTTGTTAATATTTGATTTCTACAATGCTTAGTTTGCGAAAAATCCTTTATTTTCAATCGCTTATAACTCGAAAATTATTGATGCCTTAATATTTTTGCTGAGGAAAAATTGTCTCCAAATAACAAGATCTACTTGTACATTTTTAGTATGACACCTTATGTCAGACACTCTGTATATAGTATTCTCCTTTCTTATTCCCGAGCACGTACCGTCCGGTTGTATTTATGGCGTTAAACCGCGCGCAAAGATTTATCGACGCCTTTCGCAATAGTGTAAATCGCTGCGGCTTTTAGCGGACGTAATTATTTGTCATGACAAATGGCAGTCTTCGATAAAAATTTGATCATCGCAAGAATATTTCGTATAAGATACGACGGACGTGTCGGTACAAAAGACTCGTAGCTTACACGAAAAGAACAATTTTCTACATTAGAGCTAAAGTAATGATTCAAGCACAAGTTACAGGTATTAATTTTATTTACGTTGCAAATTCGTTGATCGGACTATAAATATTGAATTTAATGAAAAACGCTCAAGTCGACGTCTGATCATTTTTCACGTAAAATTATTTTTACTCATCTCTTTCGATTATATTAGAAGATATTTAGTGCGGTCCTTTTTGAAACTTATCTCGATTGAATGGCGAGAATCTGTGAATAACCTACTTTTGAAGAAGGCTACGAAGAAATGATGGAAGCCTTTCGCAGTTGATCGCCAAGCTCTATAACCGGTTGGTCTCTGTGAGTAGATTTTCTCTTTTATGCGCTTCAACTGGCGCCAGAGTCTACCTTCCCTGATCCGGCCTCGAATCATTGTAAGTCGGGAACGACAGTCTTCGTCCTCTTCGTCGTCGATGGCAGCAAGTAATCTTCGACCGTAGCGGGAATAAGTGGTCACTTTTCTTTTCGTCGGCATGGAAACTGCCATCGAGATTGCGAACGCGATGTCAACGACACAGCTAACAACATCAGATCTATCCAGATCTTTTAATCCGTTTCAATCATCGATCTCGGGGCAAAAATTTGCTGCTCCGGTTCGATTTTCTATGAAATTATTGTCAATTTTCGTTCGATTTCTGTGCCTTAGCAAAGGTTTTTTTTCATTAATTAATTTTTTTATTGATAATATTATAAATATTATATCTATTATAATAAATAATGTGTTGCTAAAATTTTTTATATACTTTAACAATTATTTGTTTTATTAACAAATTTATTAACAAAAATTCTGTTTTATTTGCGATTAACAATTACACTAAAATATCTATTAGAGTTAGTAAATTTTCTATAGAATATCTATTTAATTTACTTCGCATTTGTGCCATTATTTATTTTATTTATTTATTTATACGAGACAATCTCAATTTGTACAAATGGATTACCCTAACAGAAGTACATCTACATATAATTTGAGAAAGGAAAGTAAGAGAAAATAATGTAAAATTGAATAACGATACACAAGATTATTTAAATTTTGAAAGAAAAGTAATTGAAATGTCACAAACATAACAAATACATAGGTAGTTAAAAAATGTTGTGTAAGATTTGGTTCATTCAATGTAAAGATTTTCTGCATCGTTGCAAAGCAAATAATAGTATTATTACAGTAAAATCTATGAGTTTACTTTTCTTTTTCGCGAGTTTTCTCTTCGGTTTTTTATCGCGCGCGAGGCCTTGCTATAACAACGATTTGCAATCAATGAAATGCAATAAAAGATCGACCTGAATTAACACCTAGGACTCACGCCAGATTTAGAACGCCGTTTCTTGAAGCGTGACGGCCACACGAGGACGCGTGATCATCCTCCGGAAGCACGTGTTACTGATTACAGCTACGATGTTAGGATCAAATTTGTGTTGCTTCTTTTCGATGATGACTTTATTGAAAAGTGATTTATATGCAAAATGTATTGTTGAATATCTATTCAAAAAAATTCTATATATTAATGAAACATGTGTCCCATAATCTTTTATTTCAGAGATATGTACGTGTCATATTTACAATCTATAATTAATGAGTTGATTTCAACATACAATTATTTTTAGTGACCAAAAATTATAATGAGATACATATATCTTTTTCATTAATAAATAAACGAGACATATATTATGTATATTAGATACATTTATATATGAATAATATTGAATAAGTGTATAAAAGATACAAATGTTTATATAAAAACAACTAATATCGCAACTGTTTCACCCGCTAATATATATGTTTCTAAGTTTTGCAATTCGATATAATATTAATGCGGACAATTTGAACGGTTGATTTGTTAGAAATTGCATTATGATAGAAAAATTTAAGCAAGATACATGTTAAATTATTGCTTAAATTAGATTTTTACTAATAATACATTAAAAGAAAATATTCTAAAACTGTGATAAAAATTAAAAAAGAACAAAAAATTTTGTGCAATGCTGCTTTAAAAACAATCTATTTTTTAGCATTTAAATAGAATAATTTTTCTCAATAAATATAAAATTAAATTTATATCAGACATACATAAATAGATAGAAAGAAATTTATATTTTGAGAAACGAGATTCGTGTATTCATGCACGTGCGTGTATACATGTGAAACTGGAAAGCTACAATAAACATAGAAATATAATTATCTGAAAATAATAATGGAGAAACACTAGAATGTATGTTATAAAAGAAAATGATTAAACGTATCACATGATAGTTATACGAGTTAGATTTAGAAAGTAAATATACATTAATTGATATATATGTATGTTTGCTATGAAAGCGAAACAGGAAAAAACGAAATAAGAAAGGGAAGAGATATATAATAAAAAACAAACGTTTCTCTTAAAACGGACATTTTTTTTATCTAAAAATGTATGTGACTGACATGAGAGCAAGAGCACTATTAAATAAGGAGGAGATCTATATTTGAAAGCAGGATATAACTGTGATACTTATTCACGCATACAACATAGGAATTGTAATTAATAGCTGCTCCAAGTCGTAATGAAGAAAAAGACCATGGCGGTAATCATACCAGACTTATGCGAATTATTTCGCTCGATTGAAGAGATGGATTTGCGTAATTTGTATGCTGTCTACCTGGTAATCGATCCACCCAACAATATACCATATCTTTACATTTTCTCGAGTATTACAAATATAGTATCTCGCGAGCAAAAACACGTCTCAGAACGGCATTTAACAACCGCAAGTTGATCGAGTCGTTTTTACGATTGCAATCGAGCCACGACGAGTTTTAACGGATCATCTTTTTAACTTTTCTTATCGTTGCCGGTTGAATAAGTTTCCAGTTATATTTTTGTATTTTAAAATAATTAAGAATATTTATATCTCTTGGAAAACTACATGCAAGACAATATAGAAGCCCGAACTTGATTTAGGCTTTTAAATGTAATTGTGCTTAGATTTTTTTAAAGAAAACATACCGCGAGAATATTTCCTAATTTTGAAGAGTTTTTTCATTTATTTGAAGATAGATCTATTTTAAGAATGACCGAATTAAAAACATTCTTTACAATTGTCAGAGATTGTTTATTGACAATCCACGTCAAAGCTGTAGAACGTGAGTTTCACGTAAGAAATCAGAATTAATTAATCGAGGAAGGTCGTGAGATAAATCCCTTCATTATTAAGCGACCCTGCATTACAGCAAAAAGTGCTTCGGGGTAGCGAGTCGCGAACTCGTTCGAAACTGGTTCGACATGTCGTACGACGTCTTCGACTCTTGAGAAGCCGGGTAATTGGGCAATTAAACGCGCACGATAAGAGAGAAAACGAGATGCAAAAAAAGAGAAAGAGAGAAAGAGAAAGAAAAAGAAGGAAGAGGTTGCAGACTTCGCTGAGTCAGCTGAGTGGAGCTGGACTTGTTATAAATAGCCTCGCGAGCTTATTTTCGCGCTGATCCGGCAATACAACTTCTATATCTGGAATCCTGTGTGCCAGGTATTTCTTCTACCGGATTGCATGCACGTGTCGTAGTCACGACTTACTCGCTCTGTTCTTCGATGTCATAAATTCTCGGGACACATATATACTATATAAGCTCATTCAAACGCCCGGATGTTGTTCGGTCAAGAATCATGCCAAAGTATTAAAGGAATGCGATATGACGGAACTCAATGAAACCATAGGCACGACTTGCAATTTGCGCCGAAGGAATTTTTAATCGCGAACTGATACGGTTATTCAAGGACGAGGAGTCGGCACAAACTCTTTAATTCACTTCGAATTTTTATTTTATTTTAAACACTGTTAAAAATTCTATTTAACACTTATGGTATATGATATATACTAAAAATAATTAACAGAGAAAGAGAAAGAAAGTAAACAATATAAAAATATAATCGCCATTAGAAGATGTGGAGATTTAGTACTATTTGTTCTATCTTCAAATATAAGTTTATAATTTTTTTCAATGTGGATGTTGTGTGCGCATTTAATACATTTTTTGGTTTTAAATATAATATAAAGGATATAAATAGAATTATCATAAATCTGTACATAGCATCATGTTTTTTTTTAATTTATTGCTTTTTTCGGAAAATATATTCTCAGTATCACAAGTATATAAATAGAATTATAAAAAATATAGCATCGTATCACGTTTTTTTTAAATTTATTACTTTGTCCAGGAAATATACTTCGTATCACGAGAGTGACTTAATATTTATGTGCCAATTTATCAGCAATGCATTTTATCGTTCATGTTAAACAGAAATATTTATTCGTTTATCCATCGCACAATGATTGAGATGTTCGAAGAGATTTACTTATTGTACTGCCTTAAGAAGATTGCTGTTTGCCTTGAGCTGTAGAATGACATAATATGACATGTGCCATGTTTATATGTATGGAAATAGAAATACTCGAATGTGTATGTATATGCAAAGAAAGTTGCTAAGTAAATAGATATGATTATGTATGATTAAAATAAATTTTTTATTTTTGTATTGATTTATTTTTATGAATTAATACAATATTAAAAGACTATCGATTTTTAATATTTATCTCTTAAACAAAAGGTCAATCTCTTTATTAATTGGATTAATTTATTAACTGACATTATTTTTTCAATCAGCAATACGATTTTAATTGAGTTTCTATAATAAAATGGTACTACACATATTGCATGCTAAAAGAGCACTTTTCGCAGACAGTATACAAAACAAAGCAAGTGTGATGCAATTATTATAAATGAGTCACTTGATATCTTAACATCTACTTTATACAACTTACATTAATATAATAAAATTGAAAATACGTAATTTTGTGCAATTATTTTGATGAGCCATAATAAAAAAAAAATAATAAAATATATTTGATTAAACGCAGAATAGAATAATTTTGATAATTGATTATAAATGTCTTTCGAAATAGCTGCTGTATGATCTCTGTAAAAATTCGGATTCGAATCATTTATTTGAATTGTTCGTTCGTGTGTTTAATTATATACATTTACGCATTAGAATGATCACGCGATGTGTACTTAATGCGTCTCTCATTGTTGGAGTATGATATTTAACAGTATAAAATATTCGAGAAGAGTAGAACGTCTGCTTATTGCAAAAAATAATCGTACGTAGATGTTTTTATGACGCTGCTTTATATTCAATTTTTATAAGAACGTCTTACAATCAGTCAAAGTTGTTTTGTAATATTAGAATTTTGTAATATTAGAAATTTCGTGATATATATGTATGTATTTGAGCATATTAATTAATAATATAAAACGTCTGTCAAGAAATTTTTTTAGAATTTTTTGTTGTATTTGGAATTAGCGAATAAATATTTTACTTTGAAATTGAATTTAATTGGTGTAGATTAGATACGTCAATGAACAATTATTCTTGAATTATTAGTACTATTTTTTGCATCAATCATTTTTAGTGCGAGTATACGGCAAATTTCTTATTGAATATAATATGTACAATAGGATTAAAAAGTAAAGCTAAGTAGTATTAAAAAAGTATCCTTTTAATGCTCTCAATTCAAGGATACATGTTTCAGTATCTTCAGAGTCGTATCTTTTTTGTTATAATAGATTTAAATAAAAATAGAAACACGTTTTCAAACAAGATTAAAAAATAAACTTGTTCTCAGTTTATCGTTACATTACGTTAAGATTTGATTGATGGAATTATAATTGCGAGATAACGTTGATATACACATACGAAGAACTGACATCAGCTTCCTATAGAACAAGGGCATCAGTTTATTCGATATGCAGAATATGCACAGGAAGAAATAGATTTAGTTTTCTGCTATCTGTATGACGCTTAGCAATATCCTAGAGAGAAACTGATGATTCTTGTTTTGAAAATCAATTAACATGAATCTTATCAATGCGTGAAAGCAACAGAATTGAAAGTGACTGATTGCATCTCGTGAATCTTGTATCTTAATAAACACAAATTTGAAACGCGCAACATCTGTGCATCTCAATTACTCGATAATAATTTTTATTTAAAAAATTTTAGAATCATAATTTCTTATTACATAAACTGCTATATATAATTATTACGTATAATTTATTATATATTATTAATATTTTGTTTTCCATAAAAATGTTGGTTAGTCTTAGTCATTTTCATTTTTTATGTTATAATTTTTTAGATCTCGAAAAAAATTCAAAGATAAAAAAATTAATCTTATAATCGGTATTATTATGAGCAATCTAAGAATTAATTGATTCGTTTTTATGCATTTTTTTATCAAGTCTCACAATTAATACTAAAAAAAATTATTTACATTAAATAGTCTGAGTTTATATATATATATTTTAATATATTTGATTAATTTGTTTTTTAAATACAAATATTTTAAAAGATATTTTTATAATTTTTTTGTTAATATTAACAATATAAAAATTATAAAGACGAAATTAAAGTTTAATTACATCAAAATCAAAATTATCTCATTTTCTTTTTCATAGTGTAAAATTTATAGTATATTTTTCTATATAGTCATCATTCTTTTAGTGGTTTTAGTTTGATGTTGATTGCTTAATATGATAATAATTAAAATTTAGAATGAAAATCAAGAGCACATTTATTAATATATAGAACGATGATAACGAAAGCCATTGTGTTTCAATTATTGACCTAATTTATCAGCAAATTTTTAACGTGCAAAGGAAGAAAGAAAAAAAGAAATAGATTCTCTTTGGCGAAATAAAAGAATTAAATCGAATTCTTTTGTGTCTTTCCAGGCATACATCTCCTGCGCCCTGGGTGTCCACAGGGTCGGCTACGTCATGATCTGCTTCGGGGTGGTCAATGCCGGATGTTCGTTGTTGTTCGGCTCGATAATGAAATTCGTCGGCAGACAACCGCTGATGGCACTGGGTGCCATCGTTCATGCTTCTCTCATAGTCGTTCTTCTCATATGGAAGCCTCATCCTGATAACCCTTATGTCTTTTATTCGGTCTCGGGTCTCTGGGGTGTGGGTGATGCCGTATGGCAGACGCAGGTCAACGGTGAGTATTCATTCTATTTTACATGTTAACGTTAAATAAAAAAGTTTGATCACCAGTGATGATAAAACTATTTATTTTTATTCATATACCAAACTGGCTATGGTTACATAAAAGTCGATCACAAAAATACATAAAAGTGATCTACTTTTATGTAACCATAGCCAGTTTGGTCGTATATGAATAAAAATAAATAATGTTAATGTTAATTTAAATGTTGCGAAATAAAAAAAATATAAAAAGAATTTATATATAATATACTAAAGAGATAGTGCATTGCTATAACAGTTTTCAGAACTGTTATTTTTTATATGTTAATTTTACAGCAATTTCTTTAATTATTGAAATAATCGAGCACCATGCAAAATATTACGCGATGGATGTTATTGATTATATAGCTTGTTAATTGTTATACGCGTAATCTAGTATCATAAACCGAATGATATTGCATCGTAGAGAGACTAAAGGATTATTCGAATTAATATTGGACTAAAGTTCATATATAGAGAATCAAAAAAATTTATTAAATTATTTAATCCTATTAATTATTGATGTGGAATCCATACGATGAGATAGGCAAATAAATTTTCGATACGCGAATTTGTTCAATAGTCTTTTTTTTGTTTCAAGAAAATCGAATCCTTGAATTTTTATTATTTATTCTGGGCTCGTCCCCAAGATTTATCATTCTTGCATTTATTTGTTCACAACAATCAACATGGATATTGACAGATTAGATGAATACTTGACGATCATTTTTAACATATTCGTAACAAAAAAAATAATATTAGTCTAGAGATAAGTGACTTCTCATTAATATTAACGTTTTTACTAAGCTAGGAAATCATTGATCAGTCTGAGAAAAGAGAGAAGGTGAATTTTATTGCTATTGAATTTATAACAAACATAATCATCGACTATATTATGCAGACGTCAGTTTGTCTGCGATTTTTGACGGATAATAAAAATATCCTTTTTTATATAGCACTTACTCATTGACAAGACAGATAAGTAGAAGGTTCAATGATGTAATATGTAATCTATAAAAATTAATCACGACGGAGAGAGAGAGGAAGTCATAAATCGCAAATTACTAAACAGCTAAATTGCTGTTCGATAACTAGCGACTACTTCGGTAATGATGTAATTTTTTTTACATTACATATACCATTGCCATATAATCAGTTGAATTAATAAAAAAATAAAAAAATAATAATGAGAGTGTTTTCTTGAATTAAAGAAATTGATTAAGGAAAATAATGACTATTTTGATCTTCGTTGATTAAATCATGCCTAAAAATTCTCGGAGATAATACTTAAGTTACAAAAAATTACTCCATACTAATTTTTCGTGCTTAATTTTATTAATGCATAAGATTTAATTTAAACGTCAGAAAAACATTCCATTATTATACTTAATATTTTTTGCCAAAAATGATTGCATTATTAACGCGTTGTGGCAAATAAAAAAATCTATACTATCTCATATATTACAAAATCAACGCCTTTTAGATTTCCTATAATTAAAAAAAAAACATATATTTACCTCCTTTCTTTCGAGATTAAAAAAGAAGATATTCGAGGGGCATTAATAATTCTGTTTCAACTTAATCTTTACTCGTTCGTAAATGCAGTTTTCACGTATAACGAACAACTAAATGACACAACGCAATTTCGCGTTATTTGCACACAGCAGGCTTGTCTTTAAATATATAATTAGAACTTTTGTATACACAGTTATACGATTGGAATACAAGTTTCGGCATTTATTCTTTTCTGCCTTAGTGTGTAGTTCTTGAGAGATTAATCGCTCTACGATTTGTTCGAGTTGCATCCCAAGATTTTGCAGAAACCGATATGCAAATCAATTCAACTACTTATACATTAAAGCACATAATATAGACAGCTGCATTTACTTCGTATCCGGCTTTGGCGGAATAATTACGTGCATCGTGCGTGCATCGTGCGAATTTCTAATTTCAATGTACTTGATAATTAGCAATCACTCATGCGATATCATTATCTAAAAAAGATTCTCTCAGTCTCTCTAAAAACATTATAAAACAATCTCAAATTAACACTAATTATATTGATAGAAAATTTAGAATTATGTATAAAAAATTTAGAAAAATTAAGATAATTTAAAATTTAAATATTATAGAATTATGTGTATAAAAAATGTAGAGCCTGTGAAAATAATTTTAACATCTTCGTAACGTAATGAATATTTCTAAAAATCATTCTCTTATCATCGTATCTCGCGATTTTTACAGGTCTCTATGGCACGCTGTTCAGACGTAACAAGGAGGCGGCCTTCTCAAACTACAGGCTATGGGAGAGCGCCGGTTTCGTGATCGCCTACGCGTATAGCACGCACCTCTGCGCCCGTATGAAGCTGTATGTGATGCTGACGGTGCTGATTATCGGTACCATAGGCTACATTATCGTCGAATTGCTGCACAGGCGCAAGCAACGACGACTCAAAGCGATCGCCGAAGACCCGAAGGCCGCCCAGATCGAGGCGAATCAACCGGAGGAGACTGACGACGAGAAGGACGACCTCGACGACGAGATCACTATCACCCATCTGTGAATGATCTCCGCCGTCGACGTAATCGTTCCTCATTAAAAGGTCGTCTTATCGACGGGATAGTCGAGATAGACGATGGCCGGAAGACGACACTCGATTGATTTCGCGGATATCCCTTCTTCCGCTATATCTGATGAAATCATACATCAATCCTCTCGCTTATCAGAACCTTCGAACACCTCACAGATAGATCCGTGCCGTCGATCGGTGCGCAAAAACCTCACGTACTTTTTTTCTATTGACAATAAAACGTCAAAGTCGAGATGCAATTTCAGAAGAACGGTGAGTAAGTATGCGCACGCCTTCCATGATGAAGTGGAAATGCCGAATGTCGACTCCATCTCACAGGACATTTACCTTCAAGGAAATGGTGCTAAAAGAATGCATGGTGACATAGAATTGGCTCTCGTGTTAGATGGGACTTCCGTTACTATTACTAGAAACTTTTCAATTGACATCGACGATAAGGACCATCTTGATGAATGTTCCCATTCTATGTCTTCATCATGATTCATATAGAGCGAAAAATGCATTTTGTTAACGCCGGCGCCGGTACCGGTTTAAATAATCTAGTGATCTTTGCACATTAATTATATGCGAATTTTTTTATTATAAATACTTCATCGAGACTATTTGTAAAGATTACTATATTATATTTCGTGTCCCTAAATGAGAATGCATGTGACATATGTGTATAGTTTGTAATTAATGGAAATTGGCGTGAGATTGGACGAAATTCGTCATTTATTCGAGGAAGAATGCTCTACATTCTCGCTCGAATTTATAATACTCTATTATTTAAAAAAAGGACAAATAATTGTTATAAGAAAAACATTCTTAATAAAGAAAGATTGTTATTGGTCACATTGACAGTCGAAATTCCTCGCATTTTTCTTGAAAGAGAAACACGTGAGATGTCAATACGAGACATTAAAATAATATTTTTTTTATCAGATAGACGAATTAAAAGGAATGAGTAAAGTTTTATTTTACGCGTAATTAAATTTATAATCTCAAAATTCTAAATTATGAATCGTTTATATATAAATATTTTTTTCAATGTTATTTTCTCTCTTTCTTTCTTATTCCGATATTTAAGTCACATTACTAAAAACTCCACAGAATAAAAACTCAAATTTATCGTTCGATTTGCGACAATTTTATCCAGCACCATTTTTATTGGCCTTTAAAACAAGTGGAAAAACGCAAAAAATATCAAAATATAAGTTATAACTATTATAAGCCACTTAAATGCAAATGCGCATCACACTTTCCGTCCTATCACATTTTATACAGTAGCTCAAGAGTCTACAATGTAAACCTAGAATACGGATGCAATCCTTTAGAGAGTGAATCTGTTCTTACGAAAAAGTCGTTTGATAGAATGGTGATTATTTCTTAGAGTGAAAATAAAAACGCGAAATTATATATAAAAATATAAATTTAATTTCTCGATTATTTTTATACTCCGTACGAAAGAGAGAATTATAAGAATATGACGAAGCATACGAATTTTATTGTTCGTGAAAGAATAATCAGTACGTGAGAATATTAAAAACTCGTCGCATCTCTATCTCATCAGAGCAAATTTTGCAAAATTGCAAATATCTCTTATGTATAAATACTCCGATTAATATACTATACATATATATGTATATATATATATATATATATATATATATATATATATATATATATGATAGACTGAAAGTTTTTCGTAGCTGAAAAAGATGAGTGCCTTTTCTTAGAATAATTATGTTAAATACTGATCGATGTTATAATATCTTTAATTTAGTATCTGTGTACAATATTATTGTTTTTAAACTCTTTGCATTTTCAACAATTATTTATAATAATCTAAAGTTCTTCAGATAAAGAACAACATTTTATTTTTCTTGAAAGTTTAATATATAAAATTCAACAAAAATAAATTGATATTTGCAACAATATTGATGGTATTAAAATTAAAATAAAAAATAATTATAGATTTATTAAAATTAATTAATTTGATTTGCAAAAAGTTACAAAAGCGTTGTCATACATAATGAAATTGTATATATACATAATTAATGTTTTCTCGTTTAGAAAAAATTGTCTTTATGTGGGAAAATTTCACGTATGGTACAACTTTCACAAAACTTTTTCAAAATGTCGAGGCTGTTTTATTTATTAACAGGCGTGTCATAAAACTAAATATTTTGCGTTAATTTCCGCCAATTATTGCGCAGTCCAATGAATTAATTGCGTTTGTCTGCTGGTCTTATTTGGCGCTTATCAACTTTCGCGTATTGCACGTGTTCCGGAAGATTCGTGCGATAAATCGAATACACGATTTTAATAACGTTTTCATAAACGAGTAAACAACTATTTTTTTTCTCAGAAGTAAACAACGGAATGGATAAGAAACCAGAGACAGGAAATTCACGAGAATTCCTGTCTTTTGGAAGAGAGATATTCGGTTTTGGAGTACTGCGGTCGCTTATTTAATTATTAAATTAATTATTAAATAATACTCGTGATATTATTTTATTCACGCTGGTTTAAAGTTACTTTAGCTCCGCGTTCTATCTTTCATTTTCTTCGTTTTCTTATTATTCGTTTATAATTTCTTATTGTTCGTTTTTCATCTTGTTGTGCTCGTTTTCCTCACTTTTTACTTGCTGGATTGTATGCACGTCTTCAATTCTCTCTTCTTTCATCTCGTCTTTTTTTCTCTTTTTCTCTTAGTTCTTGCCACGAAAAGTATATATTACACTTCAACGACAAGATTCTTAATCTTATATCCCTCTTTTCTCTCTACATGGTGTCCAAAAATGAAATAAATGTGAACGATGGCAATATCAGTATTAATTACGTTAAATAAAATCGGTCCTAATGACCCTCATAATTATAATGTATTATATCCAAAATAGAATGAAATAATCACCATTTTGTCAAATCGAAATATCGAAGATATTTGAAGTCGAGAAAAGAAAATCTTTCTCTAGTATGTAAATATAAAAAAAATAAATGATGATTTATGTAATAATTCGAGAGACATTTATGTCAGAGAGTGGTACGTTCTGTCGTGCGAGTCAAAATACACATTATGTATACTTATTATACATAATATCTGGTTTCGCATTAAGAATTTATATCCTAAGAATGTATATCACTCAAACTGTGCTCTATCTTATTTCTTTTATTATATTGTAAATTTAATAAGTAGCTTTATAGTGTTATGTGATGTAGTAACGACGAGTGAATAGGATTACAAGTTGAATCGGATTAGCGTTAAATAAACTCGTTTAATGAAAAATAGTGATAGCGTATATATAGGTATATTGCTTTCTAGTGATTAGAAGAATTGTGCCTTATTTGAAATCCGATTCGTTCTGCAATCCAATTTTATATTCGTACAGTTGCTATATATATATATATATGAATATTGCAATTAGATAACATATAAGTGTTATGGTAAAACAAGCAAATGATAAAGAAATTATAAATATCGAGAATTTGAGACGAAAAAGGCAGCGAGCTTGCCTAGAATATCTATTATATGTAGTTTACGAAGAAATACTAGTTCTATTTTTTTGTTGAACTTTAAAGATTCACACGAATCACAATTTGCACTTTAAATGCATTGATATAAGAAGACATGGTTTAACGGGGACCACGATCTAACATATATATATTTTTAAGCCTGCGAGATTAGACTTCCTAGATTTTATTAAAAAATATTTAGAGAAATATATCTATATATTTGTTTAGAAAATGAAAAATGTATGGACGCGATGTAATCGTCCGAGCAAATAATAGCATTGGGACCATTTTGATTTGCGTTCTTCTTGCTCTTATTGAGATTTGTAAATATTAATTAGTATATATATTAATCGCTAGATATATAATTGTGCAGACAGAAAGAGCAACTAGACATCTTGGTTCACGTATAAAGCACATTTTTAAACGTTGTTTTCTGTTATTTTGATTTAACTACGTTTATGCGCGTCAAAAGAGTATAATTATAAGTATTGTGTTATTATCTTCTTTTTTCTTCTTTGTATTTAAGAACTTAGATCTATTCTTCTTATATGTTTATTCTCTATGCTTATATATTCTATTGTTTTATTATATCTTGAAAATATATGTGTAAAAGCACACATTTATTTCGTTTGAAATAAAAGAGTGTATAGAAGAGTGACAGGAAAGAATAGATCTATATTGCTTGAATATTTTCCACTTTTTAGACATGCATGAACGCGGTTGTTATACATATATCCTTAGATGAACTAAGGGACTCCAGCGTATGTGCTAAAGTGTTTGTTGTTTTATGATAAAAAGATCACGCCTATGATTATCAATGCGTTCGATAAAAATTGTACAGTATGTATATATACATATATATATATATATATATATATATATATATATATATATATCAAATTTTATGTTCACTTCCTTTTGCTAGTGCAGTCGATTGTTATCATACATTATGATGACACGTTGATTATGATTGCAATCATTGTTATATCGTCAGATTATTTTGCTGCTATAAGTTAATAATAATATTACTATATCATTATATATAAAATATGACCGACACACGTAATGTTATATAACTATATAAGGATTATTTTATTAAAATTGTCAATAAGATATAATTATATATGTAATATGAATTTTATTTTAATTTCCTTTCAACAAATTAACAAGCACTAATTGTAGCGTAATTGTCAATATATAAACAATTTTAAATGATTAGAAACATAAGTATTATAGATTATTATGCGAGCAATTTATTTTAATTTAGTAATGATAATTCACAATACGAATAATATACTAATATAAACATTTGTAAAGCAGTTTTATTGTGTACTTATTGCATAAAATTATTTATTTATTTAAGAAGATAATGTATAATAACAGCCGTCACTTTTTTTTGTTTTCTCTTCTCTCTTGTTTAAGATTAGTTAAAAAATTTCTTTTTTTTTTGTAAATGTATATTGTTTATTAAATACATTAGGAATAATATAAAATATTATCTTAAAATATATTATTTCTTAAGGTTTTATAGAGAGGAAATTGTCTATAAAATAAAATAAGCTATAGATTTGATTTATGATTTTTTATAAAAAAGTAATCAAATACATCCTCAATAAAATTAATTGTATAAGTCATACTTATACAAAATAATTTACTTCATTAAAAAATATATGCAATATGTAGTCAAAGCTACCCAGTGACTAGCAAATCCAAGTTCAGTCCATTTGTCGATCGTATGGCTATAACTGTACCCTGTTTCTTGCAGTTCGGACGTATCAAACATGAGACCTAAATAAGCCAAGTGAAACATCGCCAATCCAGAGAATGCCAGATTTGTCATAAACACCCACCAACAATTGGAAGAATTATATTTGTGTGCGCATTTTCGTTTGGCGCATTGTTTCGATGCGATACAAGCATCGAAAGTGTCCGCAAGCATGGCCCTGAGTTGAAATTCGACATATGTATAAAATCCTAAACTAAGTAACACAGCTGCTAGTTGAAAATTCAATCCGTGTAAAAGAGAGCTTATTAGATATGTGATGATCACCGCGCCAAACGTTCCAAAATTTTTAATACTAGGACGGAAGATATCTGCAAAAAATAATATTGAAACTTATTTAAATTCTATTTTTATATCTCGAACACATTTTGTGTTCGATTTTATTGTTCTTAAAATATTCACACTGTTTTGAATTATTGTACTTACAAGTTTTTAGCCAATAATGCATAGGAATGTTCCAATAAACCACAACTTGAACGAGCGAGTGTGGAAACTCGATGTACAAAGGCTTAACTACCATTGATGTTGAAAGTGGAAATCCACCTAAAACTAACAGTGCCGAAGCTATGTATGATATAAAGTAGTGAGATGCTCGAAAAGACAATGCATCTCTGTATGCTATCAACCACCTAAAAAAAAGATAAAACAAAGTACTTTTGACATGGAACAGAACGATTAAATATTTATCAAAAATATGAAGTTATGGATACTAACTTCCATGAGTTATCTACAAATATCCACTGCATCCAACAGTTTGAAATGCTTAGAAAGACAAAAGAAAGAATGGCATATCCCATGCTGCATATTATCCACCGTTTTGCCTATAACAGAATTTTTTATTTTTATTTTAAACACTCATTTTCTAAACTATTTAAAAGAACATTAATTTTTTATCAAAATATTTTTGTATAGTAAACTAAAACTAAACTTGTGATTATTTGCGCACCTGAATCTTAGAACAATGCAACAATAGATAATCATTAAAGGATACCCAGGGTCCAAATAGACAAGTTACACCACAGAACATGTAACCCATGTAACTATAAATATCTGGCAAGTTTTTCAAATCATCTTTATCAATGGCAACACTAATCGCTTTCATCACCATAGTCATAATGACACTGCGTACTCTGTGCCATGTTATTGACTGCATAAAAAATTCGCTAAACAAAAAATTAGAGTATTAATTACTGAAATATAAGTATAAAATAATTTAAGAAATTTTTACTGAGACGTACCAGTATGCAATTATCAAAAGAGATGGTAAAAAGATTCCTATACCACTATGCCATTTTTTTGGCATATATAGAATAGCATAAGAAAATAGAACATATACAATCAATACATTTAAAGTTTCATGCGCATAATGGTAGATAATATACAAGCCTATAATTATTGATAATATATGAAATATCTTGTGTGATATGTATTCTGAAATATAAAACAATAGAAACATTATAACTGATGCAAATAAAATTATTTTGATGTAATATTTTTAATATAAAGAGGAAATAATCTTACGAATGTGAATAAACAATCTAAATAAGATTGCGCAGCCCAATAAAGGCAGTATATTATATCCTGTATCATATAAACTAGGACTAAGACAATACTGATACAATTCATGTAGAGTTTCCTTCTCTGTATCTGCATAATCATAATCATATTCAACATTGTTGTATAAACATCCATAGTCCAAACAATCGTCCTCATCGTAGAAAACTGTGGCGCCTACATCTTCCATCACAGCATAAGACACAAAGAATCCGGCAACTGATTAACATAGCACGTTTGCAGAACTGATGCACTGTGTTTAACCTATTTTTTTAACATAAAGAATATAAATTGAAAATTTTATGGATAAAAGAAAATATAAACAAGATAATTTCATAATTTAGAGCAAGTAATTGTTTAAAATTGTTTGAAAACACAATGTAAATTTAGCGAAACATAAATAAAAACATTGACAAACTTTTACACCACATAATTATACAAAATACTGTTTCAGCTCGTTAATTAAAATCAAACAGAAAAAATGTGTGTACATGCAGGATAAAATGTTAAATATTTTTAAAATGTAAAATTGATTTTAGAAACTTACCTCACCTGAAATTCTGTGACAATAATAATGAAGCACACGTGTCATACAATTAATTTATATGATAGAATATGCTCTGATATTCATTAATTATACAATCCGCATAATCTAATGAATGAAAGTTCTAAACAGAATATATTACGGTACAAAAATTGATTATTCGCTACAATATTACTTTCAATGCTTCTTCTCAACCGGCCACAATATAAATACACAGACCACGTTCGACTGGTTTGGTTAGGCTGTTAGGCTAGGTTTCTCCTTTGTAAGAAGTAAGAATTTCTCGCACTCTTTGTTTTCTTTCTTTCTTTCTCTTCAATTTCTACATGTACATCTATCTCATTTTTAATGTACTAGAATATTAATTACAAAGGCGAGCGACATTTGTTTTTTTATATTTAAACATGTTTTTTAATATATAAAAAGGATAATTATAACTTATAAAAATTTAATTATAACTTTAATTATAATTATAATTTTATTGTACATTGACAAACACATATTTATATATGTACCGTTAGATGTGTATATATAATATATATTATATAATTATATAAAATATATTAATAAATATAAATATTTATGTTATTTATATATAATTTAATAAGAGTGTAAATTTTTCTCTTAAAAAATATCATTTAACTTGTAAAAATTAATTAGAGCATTATTTAATTTAAACAGGTCGTATTTCTCATATGTGTCTCTTAATACGCTCGAAAAATCGTCTGAGTTAACAGGAGAATATATTATGCGAAGAGGTAGTAGGTAGTATAGTGCTGCAAATATGTCCGAAAAATTATCCGAATTAACAGGAGAATATATTATGCGAAGAGGTTAGTAATAGAAGTGAAGTCGATAAAGAATCTTTTATTATCTATTGTTGGTAATTATCGACAGGGTAATGTCGATCAACCTCTTCGCAAATATATTTTCCTAATAGCGACCTCTTTGCAAAATATATTCTCCTGTTAACTCAGACGAATTTTCAAACCTATTTGCGGCACTACTACCTACTACCTCTTCGCACAATATATCCTCCTGTTAACTCAGATGATTTTTCGAGCGTATTTAGACACGTGAGAAATATAACCTGTTTTATTGTTAGATTATGCTAAATAATTTTTACAAGTTAAATAATACTTTTTTAATGAAAAATTGACACTCTTAAAATAAATTGAATGAGAAATATAACCTGTTTTAAATTAAATATAAATGCTAAATAATTTTTACAAGTTAAATAATACTTTTTTAATGAGAAATTTACAATCTTATTAAATTAAAATTGACATAAATATATTTATATTTATCAATAAATTTTACATTTTATATAATTATATAATGTTGTTTTTGGGATGTTGTCTAGGATTGTGCAATATTAAATTTTGCGAGATTGTGATTATTAAACAGTTATATGTATTAAAGATTATTTAAATACAAGATGTGAATAAATTCGCGACTATTTTATAATATACATAGCATAAATCTAACAGCAAGTCTGCAATATTTATTTCTTCCTATAAATCATATATTTAACGGGCTGTACTATCATATATACACACATACATACACATATATAATGTATATATACATATATATATATATATATATAATTTGTGTTTGTTATAATATATAATACATATATAGAAGTTCGTCAAAAAATGTTATGCACGAATTAATATCTCATTAACAAAAGTTAAACAAATATATTTTAATATTCTTTAGAATAAAATAAAAATAATTTATATATTATATTTTTATTAATTTATTTTTGTTTTTAACAAAATCTTATCTTTTTTTAATAGCATCACGAATAAAATTGTTTTATAGTATTTTTTACGTATAATAGATCAATTTCTTCATGACCAATATATTTCAACTTACATAAAATTCTTTCTACTTCCTGGTTTTTTAACATAAGAAAAGGTGATTATAAGTGGGATCATATAAAATATTTTTTAATACAATTTTTAAATCACTTCCTTCTTGATATTTCTCATTTATGTTCAAACATTAAAATGATTTCTAATTCAAACTACATAGTGCGTCCATAAAGTTTTAGAACTATATTAAACATAATAAATCTAAAGAAAAAAAAATTACGGCACTTTTTGAGATTTATTAATATAGTCCTAAAATTTTGTAGATTCACTGTGTATGACAAGCATTTATTTACATTGCAGCCTCATTATTTTTGTTAGTTTCAGCTTGTTTCAGCCACTTTTAGCAGATAACTAATATGTTATGCTAATTTATTCCATTTATTTAGAGAAAGTCATGATACGAGTTTCTATATCATAATTATATAAATAAACTTAAAAATATTATACCAAGATATCCTATTGTTTGTCCTTATTATTAACATATGCATAATCTTATTCTAATTTTCTTGATGTTATTTTTAAGAAGTTCATAATTGTACATTTGCTTGATATTTTACTAAACCACAAAACTACAATATTTTCATAAATTATTGTGTACCTAATGCACTAATGGCAAAAGAAGTTCTTGTACCATGCATGTGAATCACACTGCAGCTCCCTATTAGAGATATGCAAAGTATTTTTAGATGGTAATACACTGCACTCAGTTTTTTTTCTGTACACAGTATATATAATTTTTGCGATTTTAATAATTTTTTGGGGAAGGTACGTACACTAACACTGGGACAAAAGTAAAATATTCGGCTATTGAATATGTATATTTTTCTTCTTAATATTTGTTATTACGAAATTGTCTGTAACATGTTTATATTACCGCTTTCTTCTTCTTCCTCTTCTTCCTAACAAGAAAAATTTCATGTATAATATAATATATTTATCTATATAATAAATTTATATTTGATTTCTTTTCATGGGTAACCAAGTTTTCAAAAAATTAATAGCTTAAGAAACATAAAATCCTATATACTCACTTCATCAAAGCCAAAACAGGTTTCCATTTCTTTTTGCAGTTTTGGGTCATTTTGTGTGTTCTGTGTTGAAGGTTTAGGTGAAGTGGAGGTAATAGATTCTATCTTTAAATCTTGCATTTCTATATCGTCGTCTACTTCATCACTTCTTCTCCTGTTTCTCCTACTATACCACTTTCTTGACTTAAAGGATCTTGCATTACTAGTTTCTCCATCTTCATTTGCGACTACGGCCATCTGTTATAATATATACATATAAATATAAATAAACATAATATATACTTACATAAATATATACAAAATATATCAAGATATTCTATCATTTTTCTTTATTGTTAACATATGCAATTTTATCTAATTTTTTATTATATTTTCAAAAATTCTATAATTGTACATTTGCTCAATATTTATTAAACCATAAAACTATAACATTTTGATAAATTATTACACATAAACATAGCCTGCGGTCAAGACACTGTGCTGTAAATGCTTTCAAACATCATTCTACCTTTATTCTTATGGAATGTAGAACAAAGATAGAATAATGTTTCAAAGCATTTGTAGTGTAATCTTGACCACAGTCATATATACACAAATTATGATTAATATATACTTTTAACCATAAATTTATTGTTATAATTTATTTCAAAAGACAAATTAATCTTTCAAAATATTTTACTTGACCATACTTGATCAGTTCCTTGATTATCAGCCAACTGAATGACTTCGAGTACAACATATTGTTGTCCATCACTGCCTTGGACTGCCATCATATCGTCTTCATCTTCTTCCTCTTCTTCATCTTCGTAACCTTTAAGTTTAGAAGCTAAATCACCTGTTCTCGCAACATAACACATGGATATTAGTCAATGATCTACATTAAGATCATATCGTAAGTGTCCCTGTGAGTGTAAATACTTTTTTTATAAATGCATACATCATATATATTGTAAATGTTTCTTTATTTTATTAATATATTAATATAAAACCCAACTTTTAATTAATTTCTTAAGAAAACAGACCTTCATAGAAAATATATATCTCCAATAAAGATATATCTTCATTAAAGCAATTCATATGTTCAAACAAGATCAAATAATAATTTAAAAATATATAAAAAATTACATTTTATCAATAAATGATGTAAATGCATCAAATAAAAATATTAAAATTAATATTTTAGTATTAGTTTTATAATAAATATTTTACCTGTCATTACTTCAACACGTTGACCATCAATGATTTGTATCTTTTTCTGCCTGCCGATTTTCAATGCCTGTTGCTTTTCTTGTAAAGATGATTCTGGATCATGAACGGCCATATGTCGGATAAGATTACCTTTATGTCTATGTAACAAAATTTATTCTTTATTAGAAAAAATTGTATTAATAGTTATATTATTGTTTCAAATAATTGTTTTGAATGTACATACCTAAATGCTCTTTCGCATTCAGGACATTGATGCGTTTTTTCTTGCGGCGGTGGAGGAACGTAAGAAGGATTATGATAGAGATTGCAGTGCCGTTTGAGTAACTGTTTTTGCCTAAATGATTGAAAGCAATGATCACATTGGTATGGCTTTTGATCGGTATGAATGAGCATGTGACTCTCCAAATGACGCGCCGATATGGACGCATATGGACATAAATCGCACTTGTAACATTTTTCTCCTTCATGAGTCTTGCTATGTAATTTATAACTATATCTGTAATATATATCTATGTATTAAAAATACAGTTTATTCTCAGACCCTATCATTATATTTTTTTTAATTACTCATATATTTGACTGTTTAAACACAGTCACACACATATTACCACAATGCAAAATCTTATAATATTTAAAGAAATTATTTGCATACCTATCCGGGAATGTTTTTCCACAACGTTTACATTTTAAAGGTTTATCAGAAGTATGTAATTTTTGCACATGAATCCTGAGATCTGTTTTTCTGCCACATGTAGCTGGACATAATTCACACTGAAATACTGGTTTATCGCCCACTGCAAAGTACATTATAATTAAAAAATAAATTCTAATAAGTAATACTTAATCACTATACATGAGTATGATATAAAACATGCAGTAAGTGCATGTACATAATTTTATACATAACTTACCATTATGTATTAATTTATGTGCTTTTAAACTGTTGGACTGAGTAAATCTTGCTTGGCAAAAATCACATTCATATGGTTTTTCTCCAGTGTGAATACGAAGATGACGTTTCAGTTTAAATGTATCTGGACTTGCATATGTACAGTGTGGACACTGAAAAAATAATTAATTCCTTAGCAACTTATATATTTTGAGAGTAACATTTGTAAAAGTGTTGTAAAAGTGTCTACTTGAGAATATTAACAAAAATATTTAAGTATAATACTTAAACTGAGATTAAGAAAAAAAATCTTATATAGATGTTCTCAGATGTGTCCACATGTAATTATACAATTTGTTCATTACTTATGTAATTATAAATAGCACTTTCATTGTTTATTTAAGTGTTTATAATATATGAAATATGAAATTAATTTATGGCTTTTACAAATAAAGAAAAAGTATAAAAATACCTGATAGGGTCGTTCGCCTGTATGACATCTAATATGTCTCTTCAATTTTGATAGCTCCACAGATGCATAATCGCACTCGTGACACTTGTGCGGTTTTTCATGAGTGTGTCTGTATCGAACATGTCTTACCAGTTCACCTGTAAATAGAAATAAAACATTTTATAATTCTCATTTTTGCATATATTTTTGCATCAGATTTGATGAAACAAAATATTTATATCCTGATAACATTTTAGAATATTATTTATATTAAATATTTTTATTCTATTTATACAATAATAATTTATACATTATATACATATATCTAAAAAAGTTTTATTATATATTTCAATGTATATATGATGATGATGTGTGAATAAAAATGTAAATAATAATAAATTACATACCAGAAGTCGTAAATGCACTCTCACAAAATTTGCAATGATGAGGCTTGGTCCCAGTATGAGTATTCACATGATTCTGCAACGAAGCCAAAGTTTTAAATCCCCTCTCACAAACGCTACATTTATGTGGTCTTTCTTCCGAGTGGGATTTCATGTGCCGTGATAAGAGATATCTATTACATAAATTATACAAATTATTTTTCTTACTGTTACATACAATTGTTCTAAAAAATGATTAACATATTAATGTACAATAATAAATTCGAAAATAAAAATTAGAGATTTAATGTAATACAGATATATAAAAAAAAGTATATATAATTATTTTATTATTAATTATGTATAAAAACAGTACCGTTTTGGGCTGGTGTAATTGCAGTAGTTACACATATGAGCTTGTGTTACAGTTTGAGATTTTTTAGGAAGAAATTTAATGATTTTAGTCTTATCATCTTCCGCCTCGGATTCCACTGGAGCTTCGTTGTCTTCATTGTCCTCAAAATCATATACAGTGAGATCTTGTTCACCTTCTGCTTCCTCTCCTTCGGCTGTCGCTGCTGTTGTTGTTGCCGTTATTGTTTCATTTTCTGCAGGTTTACTTTCTTTTTCTTCGGATTCAGGTTGCTGAACTATCAAAACATAACTAACTTCTCCAGGATTTGTATCAGATGGTACAATTGTGACGGTTTGATATGCATCACCAGAATTAATTACAACTTGATTGTTTTCATTAGTGGCTACTTGTCCCTAAAATTTATTCTTGTATATAAGATATGTTGAAAAATAATATAATTATCATTGGAATTTTAATATTACTTACATCTTCATCCTCGGCATTTTCAAGCTCTTCAATTTCGTGATACTGTTCATCTTGAGTTGCTTCCCCTTCATTTTGTACATCAGTTTCTTCTACTTCTTGTATTTGCACTTGTGTCATCACAGGCGGTTCATCGCTATTTGCCTGGTAGTAATATTGACCAGACTGATCGACAAAATATGTCCCACCTTCTTCACCGCCAGATAATCCCTCCACTTGTTGTACTATAATAAAATTCGAGGATTAATACTTGCAAAAGAGAAAAAAAAAGTTGTAAAATACCAACATTGCACATGTAAGTGTTCTCCTTGTCCTCCCTCTATTTCTTTATTAAATGTTTCTAAGTAAGTTTGTATCTCCGTGACAGATTCTTGCCCCTCTTCCAATTTTATAGTTGTTACGTTACTCGTCATGATTGAAGCATTTAATTCATACAGCAACACTAATGTTGGTTAATCTGAAACATCATATCATCAATTACATATATTATTAAACATGTCCACAGATAACTTGAGAATGTATTTATACATCCGTCATGATGTAAATATAATCAAAATTAATATAAAACTTGTGCATCATATTACATATACATAAACATACTAAAAATAAATGAAATTTTGGCAATGTTAAACTTAACGCTTCTTAAAAATTGTTCCTCCTATCAAACAGCACAATTAGGATAATAATACAATCCTAAGTTCTATTTACCAGACAAAATATTTATTGTATTAAAGCCTTCTATCTTTCATTATCGAAATCTATCTTAAATACAACAGGACGGGAGTCCGCGAACGCGCCTAGAAAACAACAAACCATCTCGCTCTCGCGAAAAGTAAAAACATCTCTCTATTACGATTAATCGAGCTCAGGATCGTGATTACGTCGAGGAGAAAAAAATCAATAATCGCACGCGGGAGGAAAGAAAACAACAACGTGCGGCCGAGCGGGGGCTCCATTCTCGGGTCTCGCTTGCGAACAATCAGACGGAGCACGCGACTCCGGGGAAGCGAGGCGCGCCATATGACGCCGAAGGAGGAGGACGACGCGGAGGAACACGGTGGACCGCGAGCGAGGTGAGCTCGCGCGCCATGACGGATGCAGAAGGACGAAGGCAAGGCTAGGCGAGGAGAGGAGAGGAGCGGGGCGGCACGACCCTGGAGACACCTGGGGAGAGTCCGATACCTGGGGGGGCACCGTAATCGCGGACTCTCGTAGGCAATGCGGCGGGGGTCCCACGAGGTCGCGCATTCTGTCGGGGAGCTTTTAAGACAACGCGGGTGCTTTCGATCTCAGGACACAGGGGGCATTAACGACAAAAATTTCAGAAAATTATCACCGTCGGCGCTGTCATCAATATGGAGGACAGAGGACGGGGCGACGATGCCGCCGTTCCACTGCGTCGCGCGTGTCACCGAGAGGAGGCGGACGCGGATCCGTCCGAGGGATCGTTTCGGGATACCGTTTGACAGATCGGATAATTCGTCCAGACTCACCAGTTCGATGAAATTGTGCGCGCGATGCGAGACGCGACGACGCGGCAAGCCTCGAAATGTATTTCACAATAAACCCCACGGTTCGTTCGCGTGAGGGCGTTGTGTAAGAGGCAATATGGCCGATCGAACTGCGAAGGTTCAAATGCTGCGCTGGGCTGCGCGTCGCCAGCTGCGCAGTAGCACCCTGCGCATCGCGTCGCTCTCTCGCGTGTTTCTGCTTCTGCACCTCTCTCCTTCGCCTTCGCCTTCGTTGTGTTCCGCTTCTGCTCTGCTACTTCCTCCGTGTCGTTCGAGGCTTCCTCGCGCCCTGAATTTCACGTTCCAGACTCCCCGTTATTTTTCGCAAACCGAAACCTAGGCTAAATTTACATACCGCGTGAAATCTATCTATGTATATATATATATATATGTGTACACTATAAAAAATTAATCGATAGCTCGTCGAAAGAAATCTTATTTCGCATCTTGCGTCAAACGCATGATTGCTTAATCTTTTGAAATAAAAATATAAAATATAAATAATATATAATAAAAATATTAAAACCTTTATCGATTAATTATCGTACAATTTTATTATTATTATGCGAAAAACGCATCAGCCAATTGATTTCTCGCTTTGTGAAAAAATAATACGCTATGAAGAGTGATTGGTTTCTGCCATAGATATTACATATAAATAGACCTTGTATCAAATGTATATCTATATTACCAATCACGAGCGTCTTACAATTTTTGTTAACCAATAGGATAACCAATAGCAACAACCAATCACGAGCGTTCCACAATTTTTGTACCGCGAATTTCAAATTTTTTTACGTTCTCATGTAATGAAATAACAATGAAAATCAATAACGAAAATTAAATATAAAGACTTAACCAGTATGATTAATACACTTTTTCAAATTATATCATATATATATATTTTTTAAACTTCTTATCAATAATTAATTAGAGCCATGTATAACAAACCATACTAATGATTAAATACAACAATGTCAAAAGTCATTAAGGATATTTGTACAACAAATTACATACATACATTAACCCGCATATTTAATATACATTAATTATCAGGATAGTTTATAGAGTATAAAAGCTTACAAAAATAGTAGTTTTATAATAGTTTTATAATAGTTTTACAATATTGTAGAGTTAATAGATATACTAGTTATGTTTTATGCATTGTGTTACAGAACACAATGGTAAACCACAAATTACCACAATAATCATAACTTATTAAATGACAATAACATACATAATATATCAAATGTTACACAAGAAATTATAAAATTAGTATCTATAGAAACACAATTAAATATTCAAAATTTTTATGGAAGAGAGAAAAATAAAAACTTAAAAATACTAACTATGTATAGCGTAAAGATTGATTTTTATATATTCATATATTAGATTTAATTAGAATAGAAACATTTGTTTAACATTTGTTCTGATATATCAAAGTTATTACTAGAAATATGTGTTTTAGACTTTAATTACCATGAATGTGGCAGTTTTGTTGATCCATCGAATTTTTAATATCCATTTTTAGAACGTAAACCAACAATATTGCAATTACGATTGTCAATATCATATAAATTAAAAGCATATATCTTACAGTAACAATCTCACCGCGTAATTTGCCATAATTTTCTTCTAGACGATTCATCTGAAATTTTAATCATAATGCATCAATATAAAACTTATAAATTAATTATTAATTAATATATATTTTTTTATGAAATTTTTATGTATATGCATATATATATGTGTGTGTGTGTGTGTGTGTGTTTGTGTGTAAACATCGTACAATTTAGCTTATATACCTTAGATAAAAATGCATCAATATTTCGATCATTTCCTGTAGAAGTTAATGCAGAATGAGACGATTTTTGGATCTCGTTGTTTTCACTGTTACCATCACAACATCGTAGTCTATGCATTTCTGATGCTTTTTCAGACTATAAAAAAAAGCGTACAACATATTAGCATCTTAATGATCTCATTCATAAATATAATTAAAATTTATAGTTATTTATATTTTGCACAATAACATAATGATAAATATTGAATTAGAGAATGTAAAAAAACAATTTACCTTCCAGAGTGCAGTTAGTTCCTGTGGTGTAGCATTTGCATTTTTTAATGAAAGGCACATGACTAAAAATCGATCATTATGTAATAAACCACGTACATTATAGCCAGGCTGTAATACAACCACAACACTTCTTTGTTCTGATGGTTGCAAGATTCCAGAACTTGGTCTTACTCTAAATTTTTCAGGGGATGTTGTCTTGATCTACAAATTATTGTACTTATGTTATGTGCCATGTATTTGTTTTAACATATCTTTATAAATCTATTCTAATGTGATTATGTAATAATAAAAAAAATATAAAATCTCTTTCTCTCTCTCTATATATATATATATAATATTATGTACCTTATAAGACAGAGATTTATCAGGTGTAATGTTTTTAAGAGTAATTGTTCCTGTAATGTCATTTCCATCTTTATTAAATGTAATTGCTTCTACAGGTTCTATGGATAATACTGAAACAAACACAATTTAAAGTTGTACATACATCTGATACTGTATATTAGTTGGATTTTAAAATAAATTCCTGTAATTGCAATAAATTTTATACATACATTGTTCTTCATTAGTCTGGTCTCCAATTGGAGATGGGCTTTGTTCTGTAATTGGTGAATTTTCCGCAAAATGTACCTAGAGAACACATAGTATACTTAAAAAAAATTGCATAAAACTTTTAAAAGTTATTAATAACTGAATGTACATCTTGTATATATTCCATATCCATATTATTGAATTTTTTCTTATGAATACTATATTTTAAATGAATATTACTGTATCAGTGAGGTTAAAAGTTTTCTTCTATTTTGTTTCTGTAGATACCTATAGGAAGCATAGGAGCTTGTAAACGAGCCAGGCATAGCAACGCAACAAAAGAAGTTCACATATATCAGATGAATATTTTTGATCTTATACATCTTATATTGCAGGGATTATATATTTATCTTATATATCTTATATTGTGGTTTAAATGCTTCCTATATATATCTATGTTTGTCTTATTTTTACATAAAATAAAAGAAGGAATAAAAAACATAATGAAATTGATCTATCATATATAAAAGCAAAAGAAGAAATGTCTTAGATGTTATCTGCTTCATCATTACAATTGCAGTTTCATAAAAAAATTTTAATAAAAGAAAAAAGATATATATACCTTTTTATTATCCAGCTTGCCATTCAATACACCATCTCCATTTGTATGTACCTCTGGTACAAATTTGAATATATACTCGCTGTTTCCTCCCCAAGATTTTAATGCATCATTTGGATCAACAAACTCCTTCAATGTTGTCTTGTTAACAAGTTTGATTTTTGGAATAGCTTTAGCAGGTAACCATGTTTTTATTAATTTAAAAGCTGCATTTAATATCCAAGGCATCTCAAAAATTATAATGTAATTCAGAAAATTTGGATAATAAGACTTGAATAAATTAATAAGGTATTTAATAAGTTCCATATCCATGTTGGAAAGTCCAGCTTCTGCCATATCAAAGAAAAGTGATACTTGAGTTACTTCTCTGAAAATGCAATAAATCAGAAATCCATTAATTTAAGAGTATGAATAGATATATAAGATATATTAATAGTGCATTTTTTAAGATTTTAGTTGATTTAAATATTTTGAAACTTTTATTCTGTCAAACTTGTTTTGTCAAACAAAATATTGGAATTCTCAAAAACACTTTACTCATGAACTTTTCTTCAAGCAAAATATTTGCTGTTCTTGCATAAAATTAAGATACATATGCAATACCTTTCTAATCTTTCAAACCAATAAACTATACATCTCTGAAGCTCTGCAAAGTCTTTTGTTCCTTTAACATGCATCTTTAATGTAATCACAAGAAGTTTCTTGCCATCTTTATCTTTACCATAGCCAAAGCAAGATCCTTCTTCTAGATATTCTCTTTTCACATTATCTTCGGTAATATCTATAATTCAATAATATCATATTTTATATTATTCTATTAACATCAAATAATTATACATGTTATTCAAATTAATTAATACAGATTTTTAAAGAAAAGTCTGCGCCATTTTTTGTTATTAAAATGTGTCTATAAAAGATAGCGCAAGTATCAAATGTAAAATAACATAAATTTTACCATTTGCTCCAAATTTTCTTCTCCAAGTACAAGTATCCCAAAGCATATTGAATGCCTCCTGGTCGTTGAATTCACTATGTTCCAAGAATCGTTTCAACCAGTCATCATTATTCTTAATCCTGGCTATATCCGCAGGATGAAAACCTTCTACAAATAATATTTGTCCATCAAATTAAATGTCTATACAACTAACAAAAACAAATAGCTGTCATATTTTTTTCTTAAACTAAATCTAATTATTTATTTTTATTTTTCAAGTCTCTAAACAATAATGAGATGTATGTGTGCGAGCATTCCATCAATTATTTATACACATTCTAGCGTTCTTTATTGCTACGTCGACTACAGTGACAATTTATTCCAATGAAATATGCGATCGACCTTTGCACACACGTTACAACACAAAGTAAACGATATTAATTCGCGTTACAACAACTAGCGGAATTCGCTTTCGACGCTAAAGGAGAGGCAGAATGTACACACTAGGATCGGGTGGTCCCTCGTCGTCTAATTTTTTGAAAAACTTGTCGCGAAGTTCTGCGATCGCCTTCGTGTGCGTTTCCATCTTCCTTACGTCAGGCTAGTGACCGGGAGAATGACACTTTGACCGGCACCGAGCACCAATTTATTCACACACGCCTCATCTATGCGCGCCACGTCGCGCATGACATCCGAACCTTTCCTTCTTCTCTTGTGCTCCTGTCAATTAGACGCATTTTTCCTATATTTTGAAACCGAAATCGAATTTTATTCGGGTGCGGAAGGGAGAGAAAAGGAAGAGCAAGCGCCGTAAGTGAGGCGATTAATAAAAATCGGTAATATTTCGTTGTGTTTGTAGATAACGCTCATCTGTCCACATTTATACGCGATTCCTATATATATTCTTATAAAATATTATCAATGTATTTCAATGCGATTCTTTATCTTATCTTCGTCGCGATGCTGTTTGTATTTTTTGGCAAATAGATATATAATTACAAGAATCGATTGTTTATGATTAATTATTTTTGTAGCTTGTGTGTGTGTGTGTAAATATATATATATATATATAGTCTTGAGTATTTTCCACGCTTGAATCAGCTGTGCAAATAGCCATTTTGAAGTCATCAGCTGTCATAAGAGTTATCATATTGCGGAAGTATTTATTACGAATCGGTATAGCAATGAATGATAATCTTAACTTTTTGCGACAGTACTTTGGTTTAACATGAGTGTAAAAAAAGCTGTAAATTAAATGCGTGATATGCTTATTAAAATATAATTTACATATGACATGATATATATATATATAAATATAATATATAAAAATATAATATATAAATATATATATATATTCATATAATATTCATACTTTATCATAAATTTATTATCATATTTTCGTTTATTTTAGGACTTACAAGATAATAACAATCGAAACAAATGAATATGGATGATGAAACATTAAACAGGTAGTTAATGACTCTACTCTGTGTTATTACGTTCACAACAATAATTTATCTCAATTGTATCTCAAATGTATTAGTATATTTTCTTCTATTTAGGAACGTAGTTTAATAATGCCTGACTTTTATTTTTGCTTCAAATTCATTGAGAAAATTACACATGTCACGTTACATTTTGGAATATATTATAAATAAAACATATTTGAATAATTCAGCATGCATCTGAATTTGTTGATACATTAATACATTTTAATACATGTAAAAATAAAAATCTATCACAATTTTATAATTTTATCTTCATATAATTTACATTATTACTATGAAATATAAATATACATATATTATAGGCTTGCAGTTGAAGCTTTACTAGAAGAAGCTAAATTAGGTGCACAAAGGGCTGAAATAATGGGACCTAGTGGATGGATAAAACCTAAAGAAACTATCAACAAAAGATTTCTCCATTCAACATTACGAAATGCAGTAATATCAAACAAACATCGTTCACTAAAGCAAGAAAAAGTAAAAGTTCAATCATATAAAGCAGATGTTAAAAAATAGGTTGCGATGTATATATAATATTCTTGTATATTTGTGTTAATATATATATATATATTCTCTATATATAATTTTAAAAATATGTATTTATCATTTTTAGACATACAAACATATTTAAGTATTGTTGCTAAACAACTACACTTTCGTATTTATTCTTCTATTACAGTACAATCATAATTAATGTTACATCTTTTTCTAAAATCAAAAAAATTTGTTCATAAATATACCAATAAACGGTATAAAAAAATTACAGATTACAATTATCAGTATTGTAGAAAAATACTTTGAATATTTTGATGTTTGCAAACATCTTTTCTCGTTTTTTATACCAATATATTTAACATATTTTATATTTTTAATTAATTTTTATAAATTCTTAATTTTTATAGAAATCACTTATTTACGATGTTAAACTTTGAAGTTTAAAGTTGCTCTAATAAATGTAACACATAAAATTGTGTACAATTCGTCTCTTTAATCTGTAGAGTCATTATCAAAACTTTCATTAAATATACAAATATGAAATAAAGTATACAGATATGTATATCTATTTCATTATGTTGCACATTTCATATTATCTTTTGGATGTGTTCGGGAGCTTGTCACGTTATGGACGCAAATGAGATGTTTCAGAGAGTCAATAAAACGCTGGAGATTGAAGTTCCAAAAACAGTAAATATTAGCGCAGTATTAAGCCTTCTAATTTAAATAAAAAAATATATATATATGTATAATTAATAGTATTAATATTTATTTAAATTAGAAAAGTTGTAAACACTAATTGATGCTACTGTCTGTTTCTATAAGTTTTAAGATTTGTTAAAATAATTATAATAATATTAATATTGTTATTTTAATAAGTCTTGATACTTAGTATCAATAGTAGTGTTAATTAGCATTCACAATTTACAAATGTCAACACTATCATCTAGGATAAAATAGCATTTACAGCGCTAAATTATGATGTAATACACTTCACTATAATGACATCCCAAATAGTTTTTGCGCTGGATAATAGTACACTCCGCGAACGCATCCTTTGCATATTTAGTTTAAAGGTCAATAAAGATTAATTGTGTAACACCACCAAGTAATAACAAGCACCAATATATCTTTAAACTTATAGCTTTAACAAATATAAAGTATGTATATAGTGTACAGGTATATAGTGTAGAGAATGTAATCATACATCTTTTTTCTAAGTATAAAATTACTTATAATTAGTATTTACTTACAAGTAAAAACATTTTGCATTGATAAGTTGCACATATCAATATATGGCATCATTTGAAACGCTTACAAAAAAGAAATCAAATTACATAATATTCATAGTTGAACCTGTATCTCATATCAGATTTTGAAGTCCGATAAGATTGATAAATCAAAATACCTTGCCATATTAAGATGCAGTTGATACTTTCCTACTATTTGCTACTTTCCTACTATATATATATATATGGAATAAAATTTTTCCTTCTCTTATATGTAAATTGCATTGCATTGACGTCTTTAATTGATAGGAAAATTTATGATAGGATATTATTGTATGTATATTACACTCACACATACATACACACAGACACACGCACGCGCGCACACGCACACACACACGTTTATAAATTGCATTTATACTCACAGTAGATTTGATGTATATAAATATTTCAAATTCAATTATTATTTTTAAACGCATTTTTGATAACATACTCTTTTACTTCGCAAGTGTGAAAATTTATCAACAGTTTCAATATAAAGTATATGATTTTTAAACATTGATTTTTATATTTCTGTAGTCATTTAATATGAAAGTGCTTACGTTTGTAATATTGCACAGCAAGAAATGAAGATTTTATACTTGTACTTTTGTACATTTTTGCTATGCAACATTAACAAATCGCGAATAAATTGTCAATTTATAAATGATTATTTAATACATGTGACAAACATAAAAATAATTCTATAAAATTCTTCTACGTATCTCTATGTGCAATTGTCTATACTGCATCTTTAATTTTGGGCCCATGATTTTCTTTTTATACATTTTTTTTCCAAAATAATTGCTTATTTATAAAAAGTGCCTTCAAAAGGTTATCATATTAAATTATGTCAACATTATTAAATCTTTCCATGTGCCAGAAAAATTATTTTGGAGCTACAGATTCCTTTTCATCTGCGATCACTTTTGCAAGACTGTTACAAATTATGAATAAATTATGCGGACCCGTTCTGATGTACTTTCTTTTTCTGATCTAGTAAATTTTTCATATCATCAAGTGCTTTCTCTATCTGCTGTGCAAATCTTGCAGCATCCTATAATTTATTATATATATATAGAATTGCTTTATAATCACAAAAGCGTATTATTTAATGAATAAACAGATATATATTACATGTATAACTGTACTTTAAAAAGAGATATGTGGAACAGATAATAAAAATTCAAGAAATAAGTGATTACTAATAAATAATTACTAATAACGTTAAAAATATTATTTTACCGTTTTTGAGGAAGATCGTTTACTAGAAACATGGAAGAATAGAAGATCTTCTCCTGCAATTATGTAAGAAACACCATAACCATCATCAGCCACAGGGCCAAATCCACCACCTGCTGAAATGCAATTAGGATATTTTTTCAAATCCAGTTTTGAAGTTTGGCCATGCGGAGTTTGTGATGTTGATAGTCTCCATGGTTCGCTTAAAACTTCCTATAATAGAAACATAATAAAATTTTGTAAAACTCAATTGAGATACATTATATATCATCACATGATAATAGTCCAAAATAAAATACAATTACCTTCAGAAATGGTGAGTCTACTTCTAAGTACTTTGATACTACATACAAACAGAATAAATGTCTATCTATTCCTTTACCACACATTGCATTCTGATAACCTCTCTGATGCTGTGTTACTGCATCCATTAGTAATCTAATTTTTTCATCCACCTTTTATAACAAAAAAACCAAATGTTAAAAATATATGAATAATGAAAAAAACATTTATATTTTTGTTTATTTAATCTTTACCGTTGTTGTTTTGTTCTCCATTGCTTTCACCCATTTAGCAGATTCAATAGTGCATGGTCTAACAGTTTCTGTTCTACCTTCTCGGAATAATCTTGTCATGGAAGCTTCATAAGTTAAACTGAACTTTCCAGCATCGCGATAATATGCCAGTTGAAGTGCCATTTGTATATAGGCATCTGGTGATATGGAATTGGCCTTCATCAAGCCTTTACCATAAGCATCGTGCACATAAATACGCAATTCAACATCGTTCAATATATTGTGTGATACCTATATATTAAATAAAATATAAAATTGATTTGTTATAATAATCGGATATATTGTTTAAATGATATTTTTATATTATTATTTTATTACCTGATAGGATTGCTCAATAGCTTCAATACATTTTGGATTCATATCCCATTGCAATCGAATTGGAGCTGGAGGTGTAAACTCTGGAGTGCCCACATTATGTCCATCCTTGTATCTGAGAGTCATACATATTTATTATATAAGAATTAGACAATTTCAGCTGGAAAATTGATATAAGCTTCTATACTATTTTTTATCTTTTGTTTTATGAGTTGATCAAACAATTAACAATTATATTTAATTATATATTAAAAATATTAACAAATTTTCATGCACAAATAAAAATTGAAATAATCCATTGTATTACAACAATATAAAAATTATATGATTATATAAAAGAAGAATTATCTAATTATATGATTGTTAGGAATGATGCAGTATGAATGGTTAGTAATCTACCTATATCCCATCAGGTATTCTATTTGAAAACAATGCATAAATAAAATTACCCAATTTCATTATCAGCAGCCATAATAAATTCCCATAGAGTTCCCATCACCGGTGCATCAGCCCTAATAAGCATATCAGAACGAAATATTTAAAGTATAAAGTTATAATGCAAAAAGAAATGTGAAGAACACTTGTCATCAGTAAAAGTACCCAGGGGAGAAAAGTAACCTGCAGAAAATAATATTTAAGAAATTGAAATATAGGCATAATAAGAGAACCCCAAAGAAACCTTTAAAGATGTCTGCCGCAAAGAGTACTGGAAGCACTATAGATTTGCTGAGGTTTCTTTTAAATAAAGTAAACATATACATGTTGCAGTCTCGACTCTTTCATAGAAGTCCTTGATATAACAAGAAAAAAAAGAGCAATACGCAACAGTTATCTTTCAGAAGCAAATGAGAAAGAATATATATACAAAATAATATAATTCTATTATAATTCTTACTCTCTATCCAGGAACTCCGAACATACCACGTACTCCCATAAGTGTGACATGACTGCAGCATCTGCCCTGCTCATTACTTGTCATTATATGTGATGTTTCGATATAAAAGTTCATGTGTGTAATTGAGCTTATTATATAATTTTTATATAATTAAAAGCTTTTTATATAATTGTAAATATAAATCTAATTATTTGTAATGTATTGTATATAATAAGATTGCGCTCTATGTTTATCTCTGTGTAGAATAGACGGGATGTACAATATTTTGAAATAATTTTTTTAGATGATAAAAATTTTGTTAAAAAATATCAAGTTTTCATTTTTCATTATTATAATATAATCCAATTCTCTAAAATATACTCACCATGAATGTTCCGCGTTAAAGCCAATCTGTAAACAGGAATCATTTTTGTAGAATACAATTAATTTGAATTATAATTGTAAAAAAATACATAAATATTACTCACTCTACCATTGGATCCAATGCACAGTGTAAAAGATTTATCAAACCATCGATCATATCCTTTTCCATGTAATAAAATTCTACCATAATGATCCAATTTCTCTGGATGACTCTAAAACATGAAACGTTTATACAAATATATTAGTTTGTTAATCTAACCAATATTTTTTTCTATTTAAAATGTCTTGACTTTATTGGATAACATACTGGATCATATTCGTAAGGTACATCGTCTAATGCGACCACGAATGCAGCCTTCTCAATAATATCCAAAGAAGCTTTATTTACACCTTTTGCAAAGAAATTTTCTCTAGCCTGTGCCCAGGCAGTTCTTTCACCAGCCGTTAACGCAGCTAGTTTCTCCTCTCCCTCCGATGGTGTTGAATCATCGTTTAAAATTTGTTGAATCTGACTGTAAGATGATATTTTCACCATAATAGACACATAACAGAGATAAGAATATGTCAATAAAAAAATTAAATAACTTACAGTTCTATTTCACAGGCTTGAAGAATCCTATTTCGATAATAAATTAACACCTTAAAATATCTACCCTTATGATAAACTACAATATGTTTAGCATCTTGATAATGCACAATCTTGTCTACTTCTATTCCTGGAATTCGTGTGGTGTTGAACACTCTTTCATATTGCCAAGAACATAATGGTACTAATCCTTGCACCAGAATCTAAAAATAAACATGGTTTTTTGATATATGTATAATAATATTTATACTTATGTTAAATAAAATGTAAAAATTCGCAGTTTTTTATTCATGTGTTTTACTCAGTTTTCTTTTTCAATAAAAAAATAGTAAAAGCAGAGATATAAAACAATTTAAAAAAATTTTTATTTTAATTATATTATTTTGTGAAATAGAAAAGTAAATTTTCTAACTATATTTAATACTGATTGATGATAATAGCTTTGTTTAGCATGCAAGTTCGCATTTAAATGAAAATTTCTCGATTCTTAGTAAAATAAAAAAAAATAACGAAAAGACTACTAACCGGTTCTAATTCTTGACGTTCAATAAGACGTCTATATTGTAAACAGGAATATACAACTGCTGCGGCTCGTGCAGCTTGCAGATTCGTAGGATGCGAGAGAATGGCATCGATTCCATAAAAGTTCGAGTTCACCATCAGAGGTGATCTTCCACGTAGATAAACGTATTCTTCCCACCAATCGGACACATAGTTAGTGGACCACCAAGACTTGAGAACTAAGTAACGCTGCAACTTGACGCCGATGCCATTTTGGAACTCGTTAGCCAATCTTTCCATGCGAGTGTAATTTTCATCATCCAACAGTGGTCGCACGCTTCTCAAATACTATTTCATATAAACAATGTTTTAAATTTTCGTTTACAATATTCAAACAAACATAAACATTCTACACTTATTCAATAAAATTTTTACACTACCAATAACTATCAAGTATTCCAATATATTTAATGATAATTTTAACATTTTGTTGCAATGTCCTGACATTTGACAAAATTAAATAAAACATACATTTTGGGAAATATGCTGAGAAACAATGCTCGATGTAGTAAGATTCATCAATAAGTTCAATCTCAGAAATAAAAAGCAAAAAAAATCGTTATTCATACTTTACAATCTAAGCAATTAAAAATTTTATTGCATAAGTCTAATCACGTCATTAAAATAAGCTTTGTAAATAAAATTAAAACAAAATAAAGTATTTCATGAAATAAAGCAAAATGGATACAATCATCAATAGCGAATATCGAAATTCAATTTACGTATGCAAACGCAATAAGTTAACGTATATCGTAAGATAACATAAGATCATAAAATTTATTATTGATCTAACCCGCTGCATAGTGTCGGGTACTGTTGGCAGTGGTAATCGTGGCAGTGATCCTTGGAAGCTGTACAGCATAGGTTTATGCCAACCGGAGAACAACTTGACCAATAAGAGCCAAATTCTCGTCAATTTTGAGGGCTTATGAACCTTGCCCCTTGATTCGTACATCCATCCTTTGTAAATAAGTAATACTTTTAATGTGTATCGAATCACATATATGACCGCCAGCCATAAGAACAGTCCGACTACGAAAGAGCCTGCCAGGTGCGCAAGTATAGAAGATCTGTTCATACAAAAAAGCGGTGATTAATTCCAGAAACATTATTGTCAATCAGCGAATGCAATGAATCATAAATATCTTGCGATCGAGCGAAATTATATCGACTTACCCGGAAAGATACGGTGAAACTTTTCCAACGAGGTCATACGGAACCTTATAACCGGCAAAGTGTATCACTGTTACTAACATCACAGTAATCCACAAGCTTTCCAAAGAAGCCGGATAAACGCCGCTTTTCAGATTATTCTGGAAATAAAATGTACATACGTATATAAAAACATGTTTTAATATTATAGATTTTTTGTTAATATCCAGAAATTAAGAACGTTGTGATCGCGGCGCTTACCTGGAATCGGAAAAATCTCTTCTTCCATGATCGCACACCAGAAAGCCACACCAAGTGGAGGACCTCCCGATCGAAATTTACATCCCATCCTTCGTGGGTTATCGAGAAGCTGAATGCTACGGCTGAATGGGCTTCCGCCATCCTGCGTTAGCCTTCCTATAAAATGTATTGAAATTAAAAATTTGATTTAAGAATAAATATGTATTGCGGCTTAATTACACTGTAATTAATTAATCTTAAAAAAAAGAAAGAAATCATTAAAATAGTAATTTAAAATACAAGCATGTCAAAAGACATGCGTCTAGAAATCTAAAGGTCTAAAATTAAAATTCAGGTATGGAAAGAATTTGATAAGTTTTTCTAGTTAATATTTATTACAATGAAAAATATTAATGTCCATCACAATAAGATGTAAAATATATTCGATTAATTTTACTATGTACATATTAATATTTTTTATTGTGGTAAATATTAATCAGAGATATTCTTATAAAATTTTTCCAATATCATATTGTCCCATAATTACTACGATTTTCAAGGTAAATTCTAAGAGAAAATTTTCTCCATGTATAAAATAAAAAAAATTTGTATATATAATTAAAACTAATTTTTATAGAATTAAGATTGATCATATATACTTTTTTAATTGTATATATTTTTATAATGTGTATAAATAAATTTCTTAAAGCTATCTGACATATTCTAAAAAAAAGACCCGTTTAGAAACAGTTAATCGATGAGAAAAAAAGCAATTTCGTCGCAAAGATAATCGTGAAGATGAGCTGCATGATCGTGACGATGATAATAATGCAGAGTGAACACAGATATACCAGTTGACCTTACTTATGGTTTCAATTGCGGTGCGCACGCGTGTATGCGTAAACGCATTGTGTATTATGGATCGTGCCAAACTCTGATAAATATGAGTATCAAAAAACAGCGAGTTCGGTGTACCTGCCACTTACTTTACGACGAGGTCAAACATATTCGACTTTCAAAAGATGCTCATCAAAGATTGCGTTCTTGGTTAATATCAGTTGTTACGTAACTCTTTTATTACTCTCTCCTCCTTTTCTTATTTCTTAAATTCTAAAATTAAATTCTCCAACTCCCGGTATCAAATTCTTAATTTAAAACTTATTTTGACATTTAAAAAGATTCTTTTTAAATTACTTTTATTTTTTACTTAATTATCAATATCTATTATTATATGAATATATGTATGGGAACAATGATTAAAATTTCTAAGAAATTAATACTATTAATATTAAAAACGTGTATTATAATACATGTATATATGTATAATATTAAAAACATGTATTATAATGTGTATTATAATAATGTATTATAATGACTAGTTTAACAAGGATATTTCTTTATACAAGATACATAAAAAATCTTTCCACAAGTTGATATTACTTTCTTAAGATCACTTATATTGAACAATAAAAGAACATTATATGAATTGGAGGTCGTCGTAATAAAAGTGTAATGTATATAATATAATAATTAAAAAAAGTATGCCAGAACAAAGTACAATACAAAACAAATTAGTGTTGTAGTAAGATTAATATTATGTGAACCACCGCGATGGTGTTGAAAATGAAGCCCTCTTTCGCGTTAGGTTCTCGTTAATTTTACGCATTTTATTTGATTAGAGTGCACGTTTGTATGTGCTGCATGAGCGTGTGAGATAGAAAGTGTTTCTGCATTTCACTCGATTTCCATTTAAGTTACAATCGAGAAGGAGTATCGCAACAATGAGAAAGAAAGATGATAAGTCCAATCAATATGGTAATTAATTCAACGAGTTGCACACGTAAACTATAAAAATATTGACAAATATATTACTCTGTTAAAAAAAATAATCGATAATAATTTGCAGATGTGCGAACGAATATAATATACACAGACCGTCACGCTTTCAGATCAGAGCCTTTTCAATACGAGTGTGTGAGATGTTACTTGATACGTCATTTAAGGATCTCTCTCCAACTGATTTCACCAGGAAAGTTGGTTTGCTAATAATGTAGTAAGTGTCGAACAGTGTACGGCGATTAGTAAAAGTTTTACAGTACTGTCCTTTCAAATATTGCATATAATTATGAAGAAATATTTGAAATAAACTTAGAAATGTATACATTTCTTAAAAAATAATCCTCTCGGCATGCAAAGCAGGATGCCATCATAAATTCTGTGTTTTATAGGCAATGTACATTTGTATAATCTTACATAACTATACTTCTATAAATAATATTAGTGTTTGATTTTATACACATAAGTGTCTAATTTTTTTCATATGAAAATCCAGAGAAAAATCAATCTTTGTGTGTACAACTCTTAGTTTAGAAGAAAATCTGGCCATTTATCACTGTTATGAAATTTGTATGTAATATTATCATACATTCGCTAACTCTTTTCTTTTCAATATTAAACCATTGAAATTTATCATTAAATATGTAATATAATAACCTTGGACTTCGAACGACTCGTCCGGAACTATTATAAAATTAGAGCTATAATAATAGAACACGATGTATTTACGCATTTAGATCTATCACGTTGCATCTATGTTGTAACATCAAAAATATATCCTTTAAAGCATTAAATTTTTCGATGATAATCAAGTATATGTGTCAACAACTTATAGTCAATGATTTTACGAAAGCATGATAATTTATTTGTGTGTCGTCTTTGGTAGGCGTGTATCAGTTCAACAATTTTATTGGTCGCCTGTTATAATCTTATTTCAATATGCATATATTAGTCATTCTTTGATCGTCTCCGATTAAATAATATCAACGTTCTCTTATCAGAGAACGATGTAAAATATTTGTCATGTCTGATAAATTTTCTATATTTTTAGCGCAAACCAGAACACAATACTGATTTGTTTATTTCTTTATCATTATTTTACAATATATTAATCGATCGAAGTGAGTAAAAATTCATATGCTTTACGTACTGCGATGGAACATCATATCGATGTCATTGCAAATAAATTACATTAAACTGCTTCCATAAATAGGTCGTATTGTGCCTTTCATTTATCAAGTATACATATATTTTGTTGATCAATGTGTGAAAGAAAAAAAGTATGTATTCTGGAAAAGCTGATAGTGTCAATAATAATCTCGCAAGATTAATTACAAATATATTATACGAGAGTAATTATGCACAGTATTTCTTGATAAAAGCTGTCCAAATTTGAATTATAAATAAAATAAAAAATAAAATAAAATATAAATAAAATTTAAATTGTTCACAACTTCAATATTTGTTCAAAATTCATAATGTATTCATTGTGCAATATTGTGTATTGTGACTATTAGAATTTATAATGATATGATTGCATATCTCTTGTTACAAAAAAAAAAACATTTTTAGCGTAACGATAGACGTGAGACATCCGCATTTACAAAAACATACTCATATATGTAGATAAAAGTTAGAGTTCATCATTATACGTTATACGTCAAAGATTATTATGGAATCGTGTGTGGATGTGTATATGTATATATGTATATAAAATTACCATTAATCGATTAGTTTATTAAAAATTTAGATTAATTTGTAAATAATTATCTACAATGCATAATTCCAGTAAATAAAATAAATTACTGTGATCGAAAGAAATCGATTTTATATCCAGATAATTTGTAAATTTATTTGATTATTTTTATTTGTTATTTTTATTCACGATCAAAGGAATTTGCTTCAAAATGTGATAAAATTCTTTTTTTATCAAACAAGATAAAACATTTTGTAAATTAATAGTATCTCGCTTTTTTTCTAATTTATTCAAAATTTTAGATTTTTTGAAATTATAATTTTAATTTTTCGATTTTTTTCATTTCTTCTTGAAAAGGCTTATAATTAGACAAGAGAAAAACTGAATAATTAAGCCATAAAAATGTGATCGTTCGATATAATATATTAAATAAAAAAATAAATGTGATATATTCCTATCCGTATAAATCATTTTTTTGTAAATTTAAAAAATCTTTAAAAATTACTTATTTATTAAAAAATGAATTCAAGTGAAGTTCAAAATATCACATTTAATTTATAATTTAAATATATATATATTTTTTATTTGCGATTAATATATAGATATTTAGTATTTCATAAATATATTATTATCGATGATTTGTCATGGTAATTATGATATATGCATCATATATCTTTTAATAAGTTTCTTCTTAACCCGGATATAAATTGTAAAATAAAAGATTACATTATTTACCAGTGATATCATATCAAAAGGTAGCTTCTGTCTCAATGTAACTTTTTAGTCTGGAAATGATAACACATAATATTATACATAAAGGTTTTATCATTTCAATGAGATACGGAGACGTGCCTCTACTTTTGATTCCAGAATAAACATTCTGTTCTGTTATCTATTCAATCGCAAAATGAGTTGATAAGATTCGGATTGAAATATCGCTAAAAAATTGAGTGTACAGCAACAAGTCCCAATTTTAATATTTACTTTTCGGCTAATGCATATGTAGGTATAGCTTCTTGGATTAAAATTAAACAATAGTAATATGATACATGATATCAAAATGTACGTCATGTATTCTTTGAATATAATATAAAATAACAAAATAGAACACTCAATATTATTTACAATTTTTATAAATATTATTTCTCATTTTGCAAATGTTTAAAAGAAATATTAAAAATTTTGTAATTTTTTTAATTAGAAAAAATCTATATCAAAGTTTGAAACTCATGGCAATTTAACTACATCACTCGCGACGTAAATGAAATTATTGATCACGTAGCAGTTATTAAAGTTGATTGAACTTCTTGATACTTGAGAACAAACTTCAATTTACATACATTTAAATTTGGATTCATTAAAGATTGCAAAGGTTAAATATATTTACATTCTTTCTCTCTCCTCCTTTATTGCATTATATAAGAACAATGACTTTAATAAAACAATATATATATATATAGAAAAAAAAAACAAATCAATAATGTACATATATTATAAATATTTCTTGGACTTTTAATCATCGTGGTATACATAATTTATTATTTGCAGCATAAAAATGCTCATGTTTATTTATTTAACGTCCTGTTATTGGAACTTAAAAATTCTTGTCACAATATTAAAATATTTCGTAATTCTGTATTAAAAC